TGACCGAAGTATTATGCAGTCACGCGACGTAATCGGTATGAAATAGCCCCTGAAAGATGGCGTTCGGAGACTTTTAGTGGGGGTCTGTAGTTAAATACTAGTAATTAATAAAAATGACTTACCCACTAATAAAATTTATTTTTTTAAATAAAAAATTTAGTTGATTTTAAATTACAATAATAAGTATAATTAAATACTAGTAATTAATAAAACTAACTTGCAATCTAAATTATTATAAAAATTTAGTTGATTTTAAATTTAGTAATAACTATAATTAAATACTAATAATCACTAAATTATTATAAAAATTTAGTTAACTTTAAATTATAGTAATAAGTATAATTAAATACTGATAATCAATAAAAATAACTTATAATCTAAATTATTATAAAAATTTAGTTGACTTTAAATTACAGTAACAAGTATAATTAAATACCATCTATTATTTTTTCAATAAAAAATTTAGTTATCTTTAAATTACAATAACGAGTATAATTAAATACTGATAATTAATAAAAATAACTTACAATCTAAATTATTATACAAAATTTAGTTAATTTTAAATGATAATAACAAGTATAATTAAATACTGATAATCAATAAAAATAACTTACTATTTATAATATTATTAATTATTTTTTAAATAAAAAATTAGTTGACTTTAAATTACAGTAACAAATATAATAATCAATAAAAATAACTATTATTTTTTAAATAAAAAATTTAGTTGATTTTAAATTACAGTAACAAGTATAATTAAATACTAATAATCAATAAAAATAACTTACAATCTATTATTTTATTATTTATTTTTTTAAATAAAAATTATGTTAGTTGACTTTAAATTATAATAAAAAAAAATTAATATCTTACTTTCTATAATATTATAAAGAAAATTAATATTTTATTTAAATTATAATAAATTTAATTAATTGAATAAAAAAATAATTTACTTTCTAATATTAACATTTTATTTTTAATAAAATTTTTATTTATAAATTATAATAAATATTAAATAAAAATTATAAATATAAATAATTTACCAACTAAAATATCATTAATTATCATTAAATATTTTTATATAATAAATTAAGTTTAAATTAAAATGTAAATAACTTACTCCCTATAATATTATTGATTATTAGATATTTTTTAAATAATAGTTTAATTAAATTTAAATTATATAAATTAAAATATAATAAAAATTAAAATAGTTTACAATCTAAATATAACAATTATTAAATTTTTTTTTAGAAAAATATTAATCATTAATAATTATATAAGTAACTAATAGATAAATAAAGTTTATTACCTTTTAATTCTTTTAATGTAGGAGTATCCGAAACTAATTCTATATTCAAATTTGATAAAATTTAATTTTTAGCAAACAAAAATGAGTATAATTAACGAATTAGAATGTGAAAAAAAAGATTTTAGAATATTATCAAACCGTTAGATTAATTCATTTTAGTCATACAAAGCTTCATATTTTTTATTCCTTTTTCTTTTTTGGTGAAAATATTTTTAATTTCTTTATTACACACTTACCTTTATAATTACTAATAGACATTGTTATAATTTAAGTTTTTTTAAAAAAAAAATTTATTTCAAATTATCTTGTATAACGATCACAGAATGTATTATGTAGATCTTACCGCAGTATGAGGCACAGCACTTTAATTCATTGATAATTAATAAAGATAGAAATAGTGATAATTTGAATCGGAAATTTTTTTTTGTTTTAATTAGATACAAATGGTTGTTTTCAAATTTTCTTTAAAATAATTAATATCGCATTCGCATTATGAAGATAAAAATTACAAGGCACGTTTTTTCGCATAGCGATTTATCACATTAAGATTATCATTTGTTATCATCATTCTTGAAATTTTGATTTTTAAAATAAAAAGTCTTTAAATTATTGATATTTTGTGCATTGTAATGCAGTCCCCGGCTAATTGTATCTCTAGTTGTCAGATAACGATAACGGAACGTAATGTATACATGTACATACCACTTGCCGATCATTTTCCGATCATTTGAAATTATACCGTCGAGATCTTATTAAACGTTTCTTATCAAATAATTTCTTATAATTAAGTCCAAAAATATGGGCGGTTTACTATCAAAAATCACGTTACGGATGAGATTTACTATGACTCGAGACTCGATTCAAATAGCAAACGACAATTATATTTCCTTCAATTTCCTCCTTAATCATAATAATAATTTTAAAAAAAATTCCGTCTCCATAGTTGAAATAAATCGCCTTCGCCACTATTTTTTAAGAATTTTTTTTTTAAAAAAAAAAAAATAAATTTTAGCCTCAGACACAGTTAAGTTTATTAAAAATTTGTTTCTAGGTTTATTTTATAAAAAGGAGTTAAATACAAGAAAAAAGTAAATTTTTATTCAAGTAAATTCGCAATAACATGATTTAATCAAAAATCATGAAAATAGAATATCCAAAAAGTCCAAATAAGTATACTTGAATCCATTTATCTAATTTTTTTTACACATGTATTACCATTTTTATTATTTTTTAGCGTGGCAAAAATATTAATTCCCACTAAAATGATTTAAATTTCTCGCTTTACTCAATTTAATACAGTTTCTGTGAAATAGATTTGTGAAATATAAAAATTGTGAAACTTAAAATAATTTTTTTATTTTAACTTCAAGATTTTTTTTTTTTCTTTTTTTTTAGGTAATTCATCTTCGGATGCTAAATGCTGATTGCTATACATGAATAAAACTAATGCAAAGGCCTTTGAAGATGCGGGCAAAATTATCAATTCTTTGTAATCGACTACCATTTCATCTGTTTATTTATTCTACATTTATCGTTATTAGTAACGGTTTCGTCATCTGAAAGTTCAATCGCCTCTGGTGTTATAAGTTGGGAGGACGTCATTAAAATGGGAAAATCTGTAGTTATACCAGTAAAAAAAATTTTAACCGAACAATTTACCATTCTATTTAGTCACCGAAAAAATGATCGACCACATATGAGTGCATAAACAAAATGAAATGAAATTTATTCAATAACGATAAAGGTAACTTGTAACTAAACAACTTAAAATATATTTACCTAAACGAGAATAATTATTATAAAAGTTTTTTTTTTAAAAAAAAAATTGCAAAATATTAGAGCAGCTTTCGGATGTTACGAATACTTCTTCATTAGAAGAATTATATTAGAGCCCAGTTTATAATGATAATGCCCTATAAAAAATTTTTTTCCGTGATTTGAATCCGTATTTATTCCATGTTTTAAATCAGTGGTTTTTCCGTCAATTTCAATAAATAAACTAATCCGTGTTTTTTCCATATTAATAAGGAAATTTAATGATTTTACTGAAAATAATATAGATATATGACGGAAAAAATACTGTAATTTTATTGAATAATAAAAATGATATTTATCGGAAAAAATACTGTAATTTTATTGAATAGTAATATGGATGTACAGTATAACGGAAAAAATAATGTAGTTTTTTACCGGTATATAAGCAATATAACCGAAGAATCATGTAATTACTGTATAATAATATGCATATATAATGGAAAAAAAGCTGAATATATATTTCAATAAAAAAAATAAAAAAACTAATAAATTACCGGATTATTCTTCTATACTCTTAATTCTCTTACTAGTTCGTGTATAATTTTCTGGAATATTTTCAATTGTTTTCTTTTGCTTTTTTTACCTATCAATAGAAAATTTAAACTTATATATGTGTAAAAAGAAATAATAAATTTGTATTATATTCACTATACTATACCTTTTGGAATTTCATCAGATACTTTCGGAATGAATTCCTTCATAGCAGCTTCTGGTACAACTGGAGTAGTTGCTTTTTTAACCAATATTCAATAATAATGAAATTAAAATATTATAATAAAGATAAAATGAATTTAAACGTTGAATACCTAAGGTTTGAAATTTCAAAATATTCATGGTAGCGGTGTTAAATGCATTTTAGCTGATTTAGATTCAGCACAAGCTAAAGGGTTAGGGTTAGCATTATATTATTTCAGGGACTTGCAAGCTATCATCATTTATTTCATGCATAGAATTATCTATTTTATGCTTTAATTTAAGAGGAGTCGATATTCTTCTTTTTTGGTGGTAGTGGAATGACTTTTCTCTTTGCTTCTGCAACCTTTTTCTTTTTTTCCTGATCAACTATAAAAGTATTATAAATATATTAATTTATTAAAAGTATCATAAAAGTACTTAAAACTTGTCCATACTATAATTAATAGTTATTCGGCTTGAAGTGCCGGATAAGTGATTTATCCGGTTTCCCGTGATTAAGCTATTTTTTAACTTTTTTAAACTTTTTTTTTATAAATAAATAATATTGTTTTTTCACAAACAATTTTTTCTCACGATATTTTTTCTTTTTTTACAAATTTTACGAATAATTTACTTTCGCAAACTAAATTCCTTTAATGGAAATTGTAAGTAATTTTACATATTAAAGCATTTTAATAACTAACAAATTTTTAGACTTATTTCAAACATACAGCTGAGGAACTTTCAAGGGTTCAACAAAGCCGTGTACCATTAAATACAGTTAAATGCATTGAAAAATGGGTCAATATTTTAAATACTTGGCACAAAAATGTGGACTATATCTATACCTTAGAATCACTTTTCTCTAATGAATAAATAGAAAATGAAATGTGTGAATTTATATATGGTGTGAGAACAACAAAAGGCGAAAAATACTCAAGAGTTTCCTTGAAAAATGCTGTTGCCCCATTAAACCGTCATCTTAAAAATTCCAAACCACAATGGAATTATAATCTTTTAGATAAAAAGAATTTTCTAAAGCTTCATGTCACACTTGATGGTATCTTAAAAGAAATGAAAAAATTAGGAATAGGTGCTTCAAAATCACATGAAGGTTTAACAAATGAGGAATTAAAAATTATCTTATCTAGTAATGCCATGTTTTCAAATGAACCTGAAGGTTGCTTCAGAAAGTTTTTTTTTGGATTTGTCTGCTAGGATGTTCGTGAGGTGGCAAACATTACAATTTACTAATTGACCAATTTGAAGATACAGATAAGGGATTTATTTTTAAGAAATTTCAACAAAAAAATGATCAAGAAGGATTAGAAGGTAATCAATCTACCTTTGAAATACCATTTCCATCAGATATTAAGAGTGTGGCTGAACCTAATGCAGATATTTGTAAGTATATTTCAATGAGACCTTTACATAGTAAAACTAAATTAGAAATCTCAACAAATGCATCGGAAAATATTTTTTTTAATTATTTTATTATTAATTGAATTTCTACTTAATTTTAATTTTTTTTTAGCAATTTCTAAAGGAATATGGTATTATGATCGAGGACTTGGAAAAAAATGAATTAGAGGAATGTTTTGAAAATTTTGTCTAGTATGTGATATTAATATATCTGAAAGAAATATCTCTAATCATTCAGGACGTGATACAGCAATTCAATCAATATTTGATGCTAGAAATGAAGAAGTTAAAGCAATGGCAATTTCAGATTACAGTTCATTAGTTGAAATGTGCAATTATTTTAAAATAACAAAGGAAAAAAAAGAAATATTCTTAATTCAGTTATGCAAAGATTGACTAGAACTGTAGAACATAATGGTATTAATAAAGATGATGCATTACAAGACAAGGTATTTTTACATTTTTATTATATCAATATTATTATATTTTTATATTGACAATTAATTTAAATTGTATAGTCATCCAATGGTTTTAATAAGGCTTTGCAACTATTAAATAAAAAAAATAAGAGGCCTTTACAAGAAATTTCATCTTCCGAATTAAATACAAGTCAAAAGAAAAAAAGAAAGGAAAAAAAAATAATTATTAATAAAACTTATTATACAAATTGTATTTTATATACTTTATATAATTAATTGGTTTTAAATATAATTTTATTAATACAAATAATGCTTAATAAAAATTATTAATGCCTGATAATGATTTTTTGCTTGATAAATAATATATTATAGTCATTATTAATTATAAAAATCACGGGATACCAAATAAAATCAGTTTCAAAAATTTGAAATGTTGGATTAGCTATCTTAAACTATGTTTAAAATTAAAATTAATATTTATTTTTTTATAAAATTTTATATTGCTTACATCATTGATGATCACTCCAACCCTTTCTTTTAGTTAACAAGATAAGGCTTCACCACATATGAAATGAGAAGCAGTACAATTATGTAAATCATTCTATAATAATATATAAATTTTATATTTTTTATATAAAATTAATTATACAATTAAAAAGTCAACTAATACTTACTCTAAAATTTAAATATTGGCTTTTATCAAATTTTAAAAACTCATGCCAATTAAATTCTTTTTGATTACTTTTCTGGACTCCTTTATAGTTTTCATAATCTTTAAGCTTAATTAAATTTATTATAAAACTTATTGAAAACTATAATAGTATTTGTTATTAATTTATATCGATATTAATATAATTTAATAGATTCATAAATTTTTATTTTATTTTTTTTTTACCTGCTTATTTGTAATATTACATATAGTATTACATGCTTCTAGAAGTAACAAGAAATCAATAGTAATTAGTATAGTATATAAACAATGACATTGTTTAGAATTTAAAGCTTTAGATAAAGTTAGATTAACATTAAATAAAGTAAGAAAAAAGTGTTGATGTTCTTCAGAAATAAATGCAAATACATTAATTAGAATATTATTTTACATTTTTAAATCTTTAAATAAATTTTTAAAAGTTAAATATATTATAAAAAAATTAGAAATAAAGAGTAACATATTGTGTAAAAAGAAATGATGTTCATTTTATATCCTTTTAAACTATTTATTAAAAGTATTTTAAAATAATTTATGTTATCTATTTAATGATATTTTTTCTGATACTTTTATTTTAAGTTTAACTTTATATATAATTTTACATTTTAACATTAGCATAACACTTTTTATTATAATAGTATATGTATATTATATAAGATAATCTAAATTTACGTTTATTTTTTAACTTTAACGTATTATAGAACACAAATAGTTTTCTTCTTCTTTTCTTTATAATTTCTTATAGGTTCAGATTCATTAAAGCCTATCAAATAAAAAAGGTTTAAAGATAATATTTTTAAAGTATTAACATAAGATAATATAATAAATGAAAGGTCTAATGCATATTCTTTTTGTCTAAAATTTATAACAGCTTTTAGTAATATTAATCTTGGCTTTATGTATTATAATTACTTAGGAAAGACATAAAAGAAGTTGCAATTATAAACAAGTTATTCTATTTGTCTTTTAGGTGTATTAAATAGAAGTAACTAGAAAAACAGTTTTACCTTTAGTATATATAATTATAAAACTAGTGTAATTGTTAAATGCTATAAAATCATTATTAAAAATAAAGGTAAACCTTAGTTTTCTTTAAATAAAATTGCATGTATTATTTCTATTAAACTATTAACTTATCCTGATTTTACACATAAATTAGCTCTAAGTATAATATAAATACTCTTAACTAATAATAATTGTGATTCAAAACCTTTTGCCAGGTCAGAATCTGCTTTAAAAGCTTCATTACAGTAGTGGTCATAAGTATCCGACCGCCCGAGATCGTCCAAAATTATTATATAACTACCCCTTAAATTTTCCAGA